TTACAACATCATTTGCTGGGTACCACGAACAAGTCCTGAATCCTCGGTCAATGACTCTAGCGTTCCCCAGTCTAATTCGGCCGCACTTCTTCTGTCTTGTAAGACAGCATCGAACAGCATCTCTCAACATCATTCCTCGCATTGATCTTTGGGCTCGAATAGGCTGCTTTTGATACAGTCATCTCAAGCGCTGGACTTCCTCTCACATTTTACATCCGTGCTGTGTCTCCTCCTCTTCAGTTCTTCTCCTCCCAGAGTATAGTGCTGGGCACTCCGATCGAGGAGACCTGCGACGTCGAAGTAAGCCGGATGATCGGGATAGACATGAATGACTAGAGGTCTTTTCGATCCTAGAAGTAAAAAATGAAATCTCACGGAGTCGCACCAGCACATGATATCAGCCTGACCTAAATATTCCAGTTATGGACGTATTTCCGTCCTACTGAAATACCTCCAAAGATCGTTCTTGGACAAGTTCCGTCCGCTGGCGAGGAACTCGTTCTCGAATCGTCTCGCGCGACGTCCCTCGCCTCAGCTTCCGAAGGATCCGGGCGGCGGACGGAGCTCGAATTAGAGAGCTCTTGTGCTATATTGGTTATGTTCCGAGCTTGACCCTCGGTGTGGGGATGTTCGTCTTCTTTCTCGCGAGCGGCTTTCGTTCTGTTCTCATTAGCCTCCACTGGAATTCGGGAAGGGCGTGATGCTCGAAGCGCGTACATTTCCTTCGCTGGAGCCCATTCTTTCGATCGATCCACATATGTGTCGTTTATCGTCACTGTAGAGAAAATTGCCGGATTTTTATTTACTTCAAAATGAGGGTCCCGCATCTTACTCGAGAGACGCTCAGTTTTTCCGAACTCTGCGATCTCATTGGTCTATGGAAACCGATGGAATCATTACCGCTTCCATTCCAACACTCCACGAATTTCTCCTGAGCGGAAATCGCGTCCAATATCGGTAGTATTATTATGTGGAAGGACATCGGAATACAGCACGACACTTCAGCACTCGATGATTCCCGGAAAATTGAGAAGAGAGACTCCACGAAATATTGTTGCTTCTCGCGATCTTCGACGAGATTCACCACGGTGCAAGTTTCCTTGCGCGTCATTCCTATAGATTCATCCTCGACGATCCCGCTCAACGGCACCGGACCGAAGCGTCCTCTACGGGGCGACTCCTGTTTACGTTTTCTGCTTCCGGATTCCCTCGTACCGACACTCTTGGCCGGCTCTTCTGTTGCCTGCTGGCGAGAAAATGCCTCTGTCGGTATCGGAACAGGCTCATCCGTTCTCCGTACTGCTCGCGTCCGTCCGCTCCTCACCTGAGCTCTGCCTCTGAAGTTGCTCGAGTCGTCGAAATGATCGTTGAGTTTCCGCAACCACTCCCGGAAGGCATTCCTGACCGGCTGTTTGGTCGCCCAACAACGGTAGATGAAATACATAAGCTCCCCCAACTCTTCGATCCCGATTATGTCTTCAAGCCCGAAGGACTTGAGGACGTCATTGAATTTTTGGCGGCCGAGTTCCCCTCGGGGTCCGTCTGAAATGGGTCATGGATTGGATTGGATTTATTCGATTCTCTCAAATGCGCATATGATCCCTCTCTCTTCAGGGGTGAGCTGTGTTGCGCTCACAGATCTTTGATGAATTTGAGTTGCGATGATGGCGTGACAGCAGTCCGAGACAACTTCAGCGGAATACTTTCGACTCACCGTATTTATATGTGTGGCGGAGATCCTCTACAATGATTCTTTTGAATTCACACCGACTGTGAGATTTCATGAACCATATTGAGCCGCCGGTACAAGATTGCACTTGATCCTGGAGGACCTCCCAGAGTTTCAGGCACTGCACGGCCGTCAGACCAAATCTTCTTCGCCACACAGCTAATGCTGGCTGAACGATACCGATAGCCTTGGACATTGCCCGTACATCGTTTGCCAGTATTTTGAGGTTCGCGTCTGATATAAGCAACTCATCGATCCCGAGCTTCGAATTAAACGGGAGAGTTCCGTCAGTTTTTGGGGCTCTCCTCAATTCCCTCTGGCTCGATCTATCTGAGGGCTAAGCTTGTCAACTCCAAAGTGGGAATGTAGCCTGAATCATCGGACTCACGTCTGCGGCTGATGTCCTCAATTCACGTCGTGCGAGAGTTCGGGGATCCGGCATCCTGTTTACTGGCGGCGATTTCTTCTCTGAGCTTGGATTCTGGAACAGCAGTGGAACTTTTACTAGGTTGCGCTTGTGAGAGGATTCGAAACTGATCCGATGTGCAGTAGAGCGACGTCCAGGCTCATTATTTTCGCTTCACATATCGAAATTCAACTTCCCGGCACATGGATTGCATGTTCCGTCGGGACTAAGTTACCTGAGCGTTCGAAGAATTGTGCTTCCTCGACCGAGTAGAATGAAGGCTTGGGATGTGGATGGAATTGACAACTCACGACATGCATGTCTTCCTCAGTAATTCTCTGACTTCTTCCCGGAGTTCCCGGAGCGAGAATTCGGGACCCCTCCCTTCCCGATTGGAGCCCCATGAGAGGAGAATCCTAGAATCTATGCCTTCCGATAGCGCGTTAGATCGTGACACTCTGGGCTCCTCGTGAGGGCGTGTAGAAAATAGAAAGGATGCTTGACGCTCCGTCGGATACATAGGTAGCACCTCCGCAGGACCACGAGGTCGATGCTCGACTGGTATTGCTCTCGTAGTTGTATCTGTCGATCACCAGGGTGGGCCCAGTAACCTGCCGCCGGCTGAAGAAGTCCACTGCCATGCCGTCCGCGGCAGCAGCGGAATTCCTCCACCCGCCACTATGCCTCTTGTGTCGAGCCGGGAGTCGGGTCATGATCGGATCATGATCGGCTCAAGGAATTACAAGATGGGGGCGCAGTCCTCCCTCACAATCATCGTACGGTTATCCATTTATCTGAAGCTTCATATATTGGGATAATTGGCGTTTCGGACTACTTCGAGGTCCGATAATGCCGCCCCACGGAGACCGCCGCCCGCGGCGCGCAGCGAAGTGCACAGTTGCCCCTCCTATGTGCACGCGTCTAGGTCGGCTTAGTGGCGGAGTCCGCGATTTCAAGATTCGCTCCCGTTTCCCGAAACGGGACTTCCGAAAAGTAATTATAGCGCCTAATCTGCGCCTCCTGATCTCCCACGGAATACCGAGAAGGCTAAGCGGATGTGGAAAACGGATATGAAGGTAAGGAACTCCTGACGTCTGGAAGAGACGCAACCCTCCACTAATTGGAGATCATCATGCGGCGAACATCATGCGGTCAATGCATCGAGGGAGGGGCGGGTTGATGGCTGGGTCCTGCTTCAACATTGGAAGTATGGGATGTCGGAAGTCTTGAGTCAAGTTCTATTCTCGTCGCAAAGAGATCCCTATGCGTCAAGATTTAGGGAACGAATCGATTTGCAGTCCTGGCGCATCCCCTCAAGTGCGGAGTGATACCTGTGAGCCGCTGTGCGCTCTATACGAGATTCGGCACGAATATGCTCATTCCACGGGGCTTCTTTGCATCATTTCAAGTTCATTTATTGTTCATTGATTAGAAGGTAATATGTTGACATTTAAGGATAGCGAGTCCTTGGTTCACCTTGATCGTCATCGTCATCGCAGTCGTCGAAAACCTCGAGACGGCAATTTTCGCAACACTCTCCTGATATCAAATCTGATATTTAACGCATGCTCATTCTACAATTGGCTGAGCGCACTGATCGACTCACTGACTGACTGGCAGACTAACTGACTGATGGACGGCCGATCGTCCGGATTTCAATCAAGCTACCCACCAACGAATCAATCGATCGACCGTCGTCGAGTTTCAGGCCCGACCGATCGTCTAAAGATTCTCCCCTGAATGCCTCCTCAAATGGATGTCAATTCTCCTCAAATAGACTCAGTATTCTCTGAATTACTATATTTCTCATTATCAATAATAACCGGGAAGTTCTGACTAGACTCGATTATCTAAGCTAAACACACACACGATGAACGGAGTCTAAAACGGAAAGGTGCGATTTGACGCAGGGGGAAGATCAACATGAAGAAGATCGATGATCTTGTGAATGAAACGAATGAGTTGGGAGGGAGACGGAATCCAAGATCGCAACCAAAGGGAAGAGACGAGGTGGGACCCCAGAGGCAACGTCTGGGATCATCACACAGCGTATCGGAATCAATTCATGTGTTTGATCGACGGCTTTTCTGTTTTTCTGTCTGATGCATTTTTTCCGATTGGAAATAAGGCTTGCCACACGTCATCGAGTCCGTGCGGCATTTTCCCCTGATGGATGCTTGATTTCGGTTCAAATTGTGAGAGTCGAAGAGGATAGCGCATCCAGACACCAGGATAGACCCAGCAGAGCAATAGTATAGGAACAAGAATCTTAAGTCGTAGTTTGCACGGCGCCCACCTCCGACAACGGAAATCGGTAACATGGAATCAAATTTCTTCCAACCTCGGGAATCGATCCTCAGTTGATCGATTTGCGGATACAGATCAAATTCGTAAATTGAAGGAGGATGGGCGACGCGCGTTCTCGATTCTCACGGCTTCAAGATGACAATTAGACAGAAGCAGCAACACGTACAGTTTTGATTGGCGTCAATATATACCCGTAGACTCCACGTCAACGTACGCGAGTGGCCGGAGAGGAAGAAGGCCGGTCGGTCGGTCGTTCGAGGGCCGCAAAAGCTGCGCTCGAGATATCTTGGTGATCGAGATTGGTTGTTCAGCTATCGCCTATCGTCGACCTACCACTGCATTATGTAACTATTTACATTACGGTCATGATTTGCGACAAGACGCAACTTCGCGGATTCACGGTGTTGACGTCCGTAACGCGATCCATCGCGAAAACTCGGGAAAAAAGAGAATTTCGAGAATATGGACTGGCTACAAGTTTCGGCGATCGAGGAATGCTGATTGCACGCGAGCTCCTTCGCTTCATCTCCGTTTGTTTGTACTACAACTCGAGTAAAGTCAGTTGACTTCAAGCTTGTTGCGACCGTTCGTCAACGGACTGATTGAAGATATCGATGTTTTCCGTAGCGAAAGATCCGTTTCTGAACCTTCCGACTCCATGTGCTCGACGTCTTCGTCGTCAAGGTCGACGTGGTATTCGTCGGGCGTGATGGAACCCTGATCGTCGTCCGGGAAGGGGCCCGCGGTACTGCTCGCAGCATCGACTTCACTGTCGCTTCGCAACGAGGATGACCTGAAGAGACATAACCTATCGATTAGCGATCACCTTTTTCCGAGTAATGGACACGACAATTCGATCGAATGTGTTGATTTTCCCGGGAAGCAGAGCCCAGCGTGTCGCACGTGAAACCCACCTGGAGCTAGAGAGATCGAGAACGCCGTCGATTCCCGTACTGGAAGGCAATTTGTCGCTATCCTTCTTCTCCTCCTTTATGTCTGTGATGCCAGGATACGACGATTTCTTTGCACTCATGTCAAGAGGTTCGGTCTGCTCTGACTCCGGTGCGAGGTAGAGTTCTCGTTGCTGTTCGGCAGACAGGATTCTGACCGTGTGTTTGGGTTTCCTTCGGCTAACTTTTTCTCCGCTGGACACTAAACCTTGCGACGCTTGATTCTGGGACCGAGCCTGAGCTGCCTGCGCGTGTAAAAGTTGCAGATGCGCCGGGTGGGGCAACAGTTGAAGTGTTGGAGAGCTTGGTGTCGTGGATAAGGGTATCGGGGATTGGAATTGTCCTGCAAATCAGACAGTCCACCGTGAGAATTCAGAAGTTCAATCGGAAATTCGAGAACTCCAGCAGCGAATACGAGCAGACCCATGATGAGAAGAGCGAAGGCGAAAACTCCCACTCACTAAATAGCTCGGACGTGACCGAAATGTCCGTGCCCCGGAGCAGCTCGGAGAATTGAAGAGGAGTTGGGGTCGCTTCAAAACTAAGAGAAGGACTTTTGGAGGATATGACTGGCGAACCGTCATCTGGTGATGGCGGTGAGCCCAAGTCGTTGATGGACACCACTCTTTGGCCGTTCGGATCCTTGGGGCATTTGTGGTGCATAAGATGATGTCGCCTACGAAATCTACCCATACATAGATTACACGTAAACGGCTTTTCTCCTGAAAGTCGCGGTACTCGGTTAAGACTGGATACCGGAAGCGTCTTCGGTTTCAAGTGAAAGTTTATCCTCAACACAAGCAACACGGGTTGGAATGACAGATTCCCCGACGCATTCCTTTCTTGAATAGCCCAACGAGGTGAACTAGGAGGCGGCACGTCTGAATTACCTTTGTGAATGAGCATGTGGGCCTTGCGCTGGTTCGAATCGCTGAACCGCATCGTACACAGCTCACATGCGAATGGTTTCTCTCCCGTGTGCACTCGCAAATGTCGTCTGAGGTTGGCCACTTGCACAAACTGCCGGTCGCAGTGCGAGCAATGGTAAGGTTTCTCTCCCGTATGCAACCTGCGTCAAGGGGAGCGGAGTCTTAGTGTGCTACAAAAATGCTCCCGCGAAGGCTCGCTAGTTCCCCAGACCGAAACAAAGTTCCCTGAGAGAGTTGAGCTCGAAAATTAAGAATCGATTCCCTGGATGGGAAATCCAGAATGATTGAACTATTGGTTGACTTCGGGACCCCTTTGCAGAAGGAGAAAGGCGGGTGGAATCTTACCTCATATGCGTTTTGAGATGGTGGTCCCTTGTGAACCTTTTCTCGCACACCTTGCACTCGAAGGGCTTCTCACCCGTATGGGTTCGCTCGTGGTTCTGTAACACATGTTTGTAACCGAAAGACCGGTTACACACTCCACATTGAAACAACTTGTCCCGGTTGTTACCGCTCGCCGATCCTCCGTTCGTGGGGGAGGTGGTCGATGATCTGCCGTTACCTGTAATCGGGACATCAACTTCCTCAGTAAACACGCTCGTAGCGATCGTGGCAAGCGACGCACTCTGACATCCCATGTCTCGTGGACCCATCACGCCCCGGCCGAAGCCGGCTCGGCCTAGTTTTGCTGTTGTCATCATCAAATTTCAGCTTGAAAAACCTTCTTCAACCCCCATCAACAAAACCCCTTAACTCCCTCGATGTCCCTCTGCCGCTCTCGCTATTCCTCTCTCATTCACCAGCTCTCTTGCGCTCTCTTGCGTACTAGGTAGTTCGTTGTCCCCCTCTCTCTCTACCATTCTCTTTAAAATAGAAGGGTGGTAATCCTTGCAGTACGGTGACTAGACCACACCCTAAAGAGAGGGAGGTACTACTGGAACTGGGTCACCAGAACTCACTTCCTTGTTCATCGATTTTTTTTCACCAAATTCTCGAAAACAGCACGACTTCGAATGCGCACCCAATGAAGAAGAGAGAATTCAAATGAGAGACAGACCCCTCTTGGAAAAAAAATCCCGATCGAAGAGCCTGACGGCGTGGGACCTCGTGTCGCGAGATGTTTCCAGAGAGCCGATCGAAGTTCCGAACGACGAGCTTGAGAAGCAGGGATTTGAGGGGAGAGAGCGGCCAGATACGTTAAAAAGCAAGCTTCTCGGGCGCATGAGTCTTGCTCGTGACACCGCTTTCGGAACAAAAACCGCAAACTGTGGTTTACCCCAGCCTATTGCGGTGCGGGACGCTCTCGACACGATTTGAGGCAATTGAATCAATTTTCAGGGCGGAGCGTGGAAACTCAGCCAGCCACAGCAGCTGATTACGACGAGCAGAAGTTTCCAAGAAAATCGGAGAGGCGACCGCGAAGAGTTGACCTCGCTTACGACCTTATCGTCAATACTGACGATTCTCATCTATACCCGAGACACGCGTCAGACACAAGGGAAGAATTATTCCAGCGTGGAACTCCTCCGGGAATGTTCGAATGCAATGCTCGCAAATGTAGATTCAGCGGCCCATGGAAGTCTGCCGTCGCGTTGCTCTGAACAAAATGGAAACTCCTCATCCGATAACTCGGATTCGAGTTCGACCATATCCGAGGGAGAAGCAGTCACGTGTCTAGCTCGTCATTTTTATTCCTCGCCCCCTTCGTGGTCGGGACAGGAATCTCAGACTCCATAGCTACGAAGGGAACGGAATCTCGCCTCTGGATCCGACTGGAACTCTCCTGTGGAGCAGTCGAGCGCCAAAGAAGACTAGTTTGTTAGCTAATTATACTCACTCGACTGCGTCGTCCTCGAAGGCAACGGTGACATGAGTTCATCTACCGTGGTGGACGATGTGGTCGACGTGGCTTCAGTCATAGGAGGTGGTTGGAAAGCGGCGAAATTGAAAAACTGAGCTGCCAAGCCCAGTCTAAACGGTAATATCCCCGCTCCTGACAAACCTCCTGCGTCAGTTTCGGCGCCCTCCTTCATCGCGTCCTTATCGGCGTTCTTCTTCATGGCGATCGCTACGGCGATTTTCTGGAAGAGAAAAAGGTCTCTTTTAGACTCAAGAGGTAGAACAAAGCGATTGATTCTCCTCTGGAAGTTTCGATTCCTAGGCTCATCAGTGTAACCGTCCCCAAGACAGGCTCTGGCGCGAAGGCCGAGATTCTACTTTCCGCAATACCGCGCCCCGGATATCCTTCAATTAGGCGACGGTTCGCGACACCGATGGAGTAGGCGCTCCGACGGAGCATCGCCTACCGAATGAAGGCGGAAACCAGTGAAGGAATCGACGGGATGAAATATGCAATCGATTCATCGGTCACGTGATCGAAATATCCCCGAGTCCTCCGAGTATCCACAAGCGATATCGCTTCTCGTCGCTCACTCGCAACTGCGCTCATCGGCGGTGGTACCAGAGATCTATTCTGGTAAGACCTTCCGACAACATCGTTGTTTTCGAAGCGTCGATTTGGAAGACTTCTTCTGCCTCTCGTCATAAGACCTCGAGGCCTGATTCACTTCTGTGATGACTCGAAATCCGTCAGAGCTCGGCTGATTCCGGCGAGATACCATCCCCTCCCCCCTACTCAGCGAAGGTAGGCAGAAAATCACCGATAGCCCCGAAATAAAATTATGTCCCAAGGTTTTTCTTTCTCAAGAGATCAACTTATACCGCTACTCAAAGCTCCTCATAAGTGATTCTGAGAATGTGGTCCCGGGGGAGCATTCGGGGGACTCGGAACCGTGGGACCAAACTGGAATCTAGATACAGGAGGTCAGGAAAACGTACTTCGGTATTGAGTGGCTCCCCGTTTTGGACTTGAGCGGAAACGTCAAACAATCAACAAAAACAGATTTGGCAGCAGCAGCACCAGCGGCGGAGGAGCGGCACTTATTGGGCAACATCCAATTCTATCCAGAGGCGCACGCACATATGTACAGACACTTTAGCACGCACGCACGGAATTCCGCGAGTCAGCAACGAAAACAGTGTGACAATTCCAACACCAACTAAGATTAACTGAAACAGGAGCGCACGAGGCTCTTTCGTCGGATCGCTGGATCGTTCTAACTAAGATTACTGGTTAGAGCCCAACCTTACATAACCTAGGTCCCTTTCTCAGCGCTAACCTTCTCACCCATGTGAACCCCACCCCTTATTGGTGGTGTGCTGTTGTGTGGTGCTGATGGTCGTGGTGGAGATCGTGGTGAACATGTCGCTGATGCATTTCACCCCAGAATTTTCATCCACTCGAGCTGGTTGTAAATTAATTTCGATCAGCGCAACGTCGGTCGAAACCCTCAGGCACCACCGCTAACCGTGGCAGTACTCACGCAAGACGAGAGCACCGCAAAGGGTTTCTCGGAAAATGGGCCGCTAAAAAAGAAATCAAAGAAACATTGCGACCGGATCGAGAGCGTCAAAAGCCCTCGGGATCAAATCGCGAAGGGGCTTGGGAACCGTTCGGGCTCTACCGTTCTCGAACCCGATCGGCGTTTCCGACAGCGCTCGCTCACAGCTAGATGACATAACGAAGCCACAACAATAAACTGAAAGATGTTTCCGACGACATACCGATCGATTGGAGTGCCAGTCCGCCCCTGACTTGAGCGAATGCACTGACGAATAATTACCGTGGGAGACTTTTCGCAAGAAACCCCGCGTCGCAACTTTGATCTCTTTACGTTGCGGAACTTCTACCGCTGCTCGTCTCTCGAGATTGGAGAATTCAGGAGACTGTTCAAGGGGCTCAAGGGGTATGCTTTCCCTCGTCCAGTTTCCTATTCCCTTCGTCCAAGACGGTTCAATGTGATCAGTGCGGACCTGGCAAGAGGAATCCCGCAACTCGTCTCTACACAAAATCGCCCGCAGGAATGGGTGTCTTCATCATCCGCAACTCTTTCTCAATCACCGGTCACCTCCGAAAAATAGTCCGGCGGATAAACCCACCAATTCTCTGTGAGTGAGAATAGCGAGACGATCATGATACGAACACTTCGAACTAGCCATCGCGCGGCGGTTAGAACCGGCGAACGGCTGACGCTTCTGAGCTTCAGATCGGCCCTAAGAAGTGGCGGTTCGAAGTGAAGGGTATCTTTTTCCCATATTTCGGAGCCCCAGTAATCTGCTAAACGGGTCAAAACCCTTTGGTTCTCAGACTGCGCGCTCGGTCAAACGCCAGACATCGGCCAGACGGCTAAGAATGCTCGAAGCAACCTGTGCCTCTCAAAACGAAAGAAAAAAAGAAAATGACGACGACGACGACGAAGAAGAAAAAGAAGAAAAGGGATTCGTCGACAGAATCTCGCCACGCAGCCTGGCCGGTCGGTCGGTTGGCTACCAGAGTTCGCGCAACATATAGACAGACCGATCGATTGGCTAACCACGCACCGGTCGGGAATCAATCGTAGCCAGCAGATAGATAGACAGACGACTTCGCCGGTCGGCGTCGTCGTCCACGTTAAGAAGATGCATGACGGAACGTCGTGTCACCCAAGTCAAAATGAGAAATCTGTTCTTGGGCCCCCTCGATTAACTACTACTACTACATATTCAGGCGACGGAGCTCGGCCGATTTCTGAGCTCCATCGTCCAGAAGCCGCCCGCTTACTCAACGGTGGCACAAGACCCGATGAAGAACCTCTTAGTCGCTATCGATCAACAGATCGCCTGTTCGGCCGATCGCCTGCGGACTAGCTCGCCGCGCGATGGATTAAGGAATGTCGAGTCACTCGGGACTTGGGTCAGAAACCGCGAAATGTGCGAATCGCGGTATATCCGGAAATGACATGCGAGCCGACTCGAATTCCGGTTGATAGCGGGAAGGGAATTTTGGCGGACACGTGAAATCCCGGGATCCGGCAGTAGATCTTATGCACGAGTGAATTGACGCTGTTTCGAGAAAGTAAGAACACTCACGACCGGCTCGTAAATGCTTAGTGTCTGGGCAGTGGTCCAGTGGCGTTTTTTGAAGCTCTCAGTCAGACTGAACCCCATCCCCCCTTGAGTTAGGTTAGCCGGTGCTTTAGCGATCGAGAAAAAGAAAGAGCGTTCCGCCTTCTATGTAGATGGTCCAGACTTTCTCTGACCAGGGCCCCCTCCACCACCACCACCACGAAGGCGAACGACAACGAGGAACTTTCGTTGTTGATGTTGATCGTGGACATTCAGCTGACCTACAAAGTCCAGTCGACCTTGGACTTCACTACGCAGCTGGACTCCGGCTATGGGAAAGAAAGAGTAGATGGACTGGCCTTCGGCTCCACGGCCTCGTTCCCTTCGTCAATGCACAGATTACCACCGCTAGTACGACAACCAGTCCAATGATTATGACAAGGACGACGACAGAAGGCGGATATCCACGCATATGCCGACGCTAGGACTTCCTCTGCTCTCCGATATCGGTCCTCGACTCGGAACTGCACTGGACTGAACGTGCGAACTCTGAAATACTGAGATTTTCCATTCAGCCCCACCCTTGTCGATCGAACTGTTTCCGGCATCGAGCTCCTTGCCGGCGCTCTGAAGAGCCCCCGGAACTCTTCGGAGGCTCGCCCTGGCGAAAGGACGACATCAATCTCGTGGATTCCGCTCTGATTTTCACATTTTTACAACCAATCGGGGGAACATGTTTCAATTTGTCCGTGTACGATGCACGAGCGGCAGGCACAAGAGCAGCAGCAGCAGCAACAACTAAGTGAATACGGCGAAGAGATTTTGCCCGTCGATCGAAGCGGAGATGGCGAGATTGTTGCCACGGCGCTAAAATTGAAACTTCGAGACGACCGTCAGCCACCGAAGAAAAGATTTCATTTGCATAAATCGATCAGGATACATCGCTACCTACTACACTGCTCTCGCTTAACTTCTCTATCCGAGACAACATGGGATTCTCCCCTGACGGATCTTGACGCTGTGCGCCTCGCTAAAACACGGACTCGAGGTTCGGGTCTTCATTTCGATCATAAGAGTGCGAGGCGAGCGTGGTCAGCCGGAAACAAGTCACGGAGCTCGCAGAATGGCCCGGAATTTCGTCGAAGGGGTTCCTCGCCGCGGGAAAGATGCTGAGCCCTCGCATCAAAAGAAACTCGACCGCAGCGGAAGCCGGCGTCCCGTTCCCACGGCATCTCATGGCTCTCTCTCTCTCTCGGGATGAGCTTATGACTTTATGGCTTGATGGAAAGTTGTTCAAACAAATGACACAAAGTGTAAAACAACAGCAAACGATTCCCGAATCGATTCTGTTTGATCAGCAACTCCAACGCGCAGAGATAGGGCCGTGGCGCAGAACCCCGTTCTAGTAGCGATCGATGGATTCCTAGTTGTCATGGCTGCTCCGGGCCGCTCTAGCGGAGAGAAAAGCAAGGCACAGCGAGAGCAAGGAAGATTCTCACAAATCAAATCGGCGGCGTCTTGGGCTCTGTAGAGCTCGTCGATGTGCATCGGGGACGGCAGTTTTTCAAAGAGTTCCTCTCCGATGTTCTCCCGCAGAAAGCCACAACCGCAGGTGCCTTCGTCTTGGAAATCAAATGTTGTTCAAGGGTTGCACAACGCGTCCCGTCCACATCGATTGAACCATCCGTCGCGGGGACGAGCGAGGAACCAACGAACGAGAAATCGGCTCGCTTCAGACGCTCCAAAAGAAACGGGGAAACTGTGAGAAAAAGAAGGGATCCCCCGTTTCTTGCACGCCGATCGGTGGAGTCTGTCGAATTTACGAGAGTGCCGCTCCGTAGACAAGAAATCACGATCATTGAGAACGTCCGAGGGGAACGTTTTGGAAAGACTCGAGAGTTACGATATTTCGGGTATCGCGGTTCTCGGAACGGTTCCCTCTGAAGCATGTGGATTTCACCGGTTCCGGTTTCCAGAGAACGAGGGAGGTCGGCCCGAATAGAAAATTCCCTCTCGTGCAGTGCGAGAGCGGCGCTTTGAGAAAGGAAGTGCATCGCGCGTACACGATGGGAGCTATGCGGACCTTCGCATTCAGAGCTCTCGGCTAGCGTAGAACTCGTATTTTTTTTATTCATCTCGGCTGGCCATTGGAGCTCTGTCGATGCCCGGCCGTCGGATCACCGGCGCTCTCATCAAGCAGATGTGGAGCAGCTGAGTGAAAATCAGACCGATAGTGTAGAATGGGAGAAGGGGTCTGCCCGGACTAGAAATACTCATTACGCGATCCGAATTGGATTTGACGATGGGTCAGACGATGGGGTACGCACCAGGCGTGGGCGGGCCTTACGTCATCTGCTGTTGAGGTTAGCTCACGTTAGGGTTGGAGGATTCTTCGCCGAAAGCACCGAGAGAACGACGGCTTACATGAATCCGCGACGCTGTCTTCTCACCGGCTCTGCTCGAAAAATGGACTGGTATTCACGAGCTCATGGAGTATGGGAGGGCTCCGACTCGCTGAGAGAACATTCGGTACGAGGCTCTTTTCCACGAATATTCGTCCCGCTGAGGGATTATGAAGTGATCGGCAGTGCCTCGATTGACCCCCAGGAATTCGTTGCGGTCGTTAGGGAGGGTCCTCCGAAGACGTGTGAAAATATGAAAGGGTTGCAGGAGCTTGAAGTCGGCATTTCTCATGAATGCCGCGACCTTGCGGATTTCAGCAGACACCCGTGGAACGACTTGGTGATTTCGCAGTTCACGATGAACCCATCGCGGTGGAGGAGGCCGAAAATTCATCGGAATTCATAAACATAGAGCCTCGGGGACTTCAGCTCGAGTGCGAGCGATCGGAGTCTTTGGACTAGGGCTGCTCCGGAATGCGATAAACTCTCATACGCAAGCCCATCCGTCCTCCCCATCATCTAATCCAGATTTCGCAATTCTCTCGATGAGCGTTGCGGAAAAACTCAGAGAGACGGATCTTAGGTCTCAGGGGATTGTTCCCGATCGGAATTCCACCGGACTTCTCCCCGCCATGGAGGGGAGCGTGAACAAAACTTTGATCCGATCCGACGATCGCTTCAATGAGTCCGATTCGTTCGATGAAGTCGTAAAATTGTACG